CCAGCCTCCCCCCCCCCCCCCCCCCTTTCCCCTCATCGGTCTTGCTCTCTTTCATAAACCAGTTTTAAATAAAAAAAACATCAAACCTTTGATTTTGGTTCTTTTGCGGAAAAGAGGAATTTTGAAAGCTACATCGACTCTTTCTTGCGTTTACCGTGCATATTTGTGTAATAGACTGCCCCCATTAGGCGGCTGCTAACCGCTGTCTCCACACTCAGCCTCTATTGTGTTTCTTCTCATGAGATCTTTATCACCGAGTTATTATAGCAGGAATCCGAGGGGACAAAAAAACAGGAAATGGTACCAAGTCACGCAAAGACGCTTTCTACACAGGCGTATGGGTGTGAGCATGTTTTTAATGACAGTCTGTCAGTAAATCTGGGGTGAGTCTGGGGATGCAGGGAAACATGTGTCTGGACACACTGAGGGCACAGCACAGACATGCCACGACATGATACAACATGACGGTTAAAGCAAACAAACCAAAAAATACTTTTTGAAAGCACTGCCCAAACTTATGCCAAAATGTAAATAAACCAGATTTAAATAGGCAAATACATTGATATATCTTATTTCTAGACAGACATGCCGGTGCACTATACAAAATCACAAGAAAGGATGGATGTCCTGGTTCCTTACCTGTTCCACAGTGAGAGGTGAGCAGATCTCTTCTCCTCTCAGGATCATGGACCGCTGTGTCAGAACCTCAGACAGCTGAAAGGAGTCGAGTCCCAGCAGATCACTGACGACACTGACCACTGTCATTCAAATAAACACAACGTATAAGCCTTCACAATGTGGAAAGTGGATATTATATATTTGAAAGTCAATTTTCCATCATATGATATGCAAACGTGTTACACATATTCAACAGTCTACCTAACATCTGATTGTGTAATATATGTACATTAATTTCTTATTAAATTTCAAATATTAAGACTGTAATGTAATGGCTGGTGCATTATTTAACTATAGTGCAAATTGACCAGTTACATTTACAGGTGCATCTCAATAAATTAGAATGTCGTGGAAAAGTTAATTTATTTCAGCAATTCAACTCAAATTGTGAAACTCGTGTATTAAATAAATTCAATGCACACAGACTGAAGTAGTTTAAGTCTTTGGTTCTTTTAATTGTCAACAAATTAGAATACTTCATAAGAAGATTCCAGATATTCAAATAGTTGCATCACGGCCAAATATTGTCCTATCCTAACAAACCATACATCAATGGAAAGCTTATTTATTCAGCCGTACACCTCAATTAAAAAAAAAATTCCCCTTATGACTGGTTTTGTGGCCCAGGGTCACATATTATAATTATTTCTGAAGGATCATGAAACACTGAAAACTGGAGTAAAATTCAGTTTTGCCATCACAGGAATAAATTACATTTTAAAATATATTGAAATAGTAATTAACCACCTATTTTAAATTGTAGTAATAACCTCTCAATTCATTGTTGTGACTGCATGGAAATATGCAACCAGTAGATTTGAGTAATTGATGACAGAATAAAAAACTTTTTTTAATGAATCAACAGTCTTTTGGAACTGCTCCAGCATTAAGACGGGTTAGTGAGTCATCCATATGAAGTGCAGTTATCAAAGTGAATTCTGACATGTTGTAGCATGCCTCTACACGCTCTACTCAGTGAAAGTCTTTACTCTTAGCTCCTGGCAGATAAAATATAGGCTGATATTGTGTGCCAGGACTACAGGCGGTATTTAATAGATCCTTCGACTAAGATAACTATTAAAAAGGCATGTATAACACACTAGCTATGCTTCTGACAAATGCTGATTTGCCTCGAACCTCCTTTAGTGGTAATCTGAGCACCCCCTGCAGTCATGAACTCGATGTTGCCGATCTGTAAGACCCCAGAGAGCAGCTTGAAGACATCACAGATCTCTTCCTCTGTGAATTCCATCACCTTCAATGCTTCCTACAGCCATTAAACAGAAGAATATTTATTTGACATATTTTATTTGAATATTTTGACAGATACAGCTTATATTGACTTCTTAAGGGAAAGAGAGGAGGAAATGGGATCTGGACACATTATGCTTACTATGATCACAGAGGTCATTCTTACTTGACCAATAGATATGAATAAAAAAAACTCTGAATAACTGGAGTTTCATTATTTCTACCTAATTCCTTCTGAACAAGTTACAGATAAGAGATGATGTGGTGCCCTCTAGTGGACATTTATTAAAGCCCAATTGCATGGCATTAAAGGGTTAGTTCACCCAAAAATGAAAATTAGACTGTGCCCCCCCTCCCTTCAGACGAACATCCTAGGTGTATATGACTTTCTTCTTTCAGACAAATCCAGTTGGAGTTATATGACTTAATATAACTCCAACTGGATTTGTCTGAAAGAAGAAAGTCATATACACCAAGGATGCCTCGGGGGTGAGTAAAACACAGCCTAATTTTCATTTTTGGGTGAACTAACCCTTTAAAGAGACCAAATTTGACATTTCTGTCATTTACTCTCTTTCATGTTGTTCCATGTGCTTTTCATGAGAAAAGCAACTGTTTTAGAGTCGAGAATGTCGTCAAACATACAGTATTGACTCACCATCACACTATCATAGAGGTGCTTGTCATCCAGGCTTCTGTCTTTCACACAGCCGGACTGGCTGAGGTAATGATACGCCTCAGGGGAATCAGCCAGCATGTACATTTCTGATGGAAAGAACACAGCGTTAATAAGGTAAGGTTCAGCTTGCGTAAAGGTGAAGTGTGTAATGCCTGTGCCTCCAAAACATAATGAAATAATGTTAAAATCTCACCTCTGTGCTCATACTTAGCACCTGACAACAATGCATAGAAAATATGGTAGTTCCTCTCTCCCGGATTCTGCCGCACAACTCGATTCTGGAATGTAATGACATTTTTAAAACACAAAGCATTTAATACAACTGCTTAAATGCATGGCTATAAACAATTCTAATTAAAAGAAAGAAAAAAAAACATAGAAGATACCTTTTCAAGTAAATAATCAATAATACAGCCACCCTGGATATTTCCACTCTGAGAAAAGTGAAGCTGAATGAACTTGCCAAAGCGACTGGAGTTGTTGTTGTAAACAGTTTTTGCATTTCCAAATGCCTCCATTATTGGACTGGAGTGAAAGAGAAAGAATGGGTGTTAAAATGGAAAGAGATACGACAACATGTGCAAGAACAGTGATAGAGCATGTATGACCTGCTCTGTACGATGGCCTGCTCTACTTTGGTGGTCCTCTCTGAGAGCGGAGAGCCTGTGGAGTTCTGACTCATGACGGACAGGAACTTCAGCAGCAGTTTGGTGCTCTCTGTCTTCCCAGCACCACTCTCTCCACTGAGAATACATACACATTAAGCATGAACATAAAACACTGAGAATACATACACATTTTGTCTGTGGTTATTTGTGTGTTTTTGAAAGAAGTCTATTATGCTCACCAAGGCTTCATTTATTTGATTAAAAATACAGTAAAACAGTCATTAAAATAATTACAGCTGTTGTATTTGAATTTATTTCTGTGATGGTAATGCAGATTTTTCAGCATCATTCCTCCAGTCTTCAGTGTCACATGATCCTTCAGAAATCATTCTAATATGCTGATTTGCTGCTCAAGAAACATTTATTATTATCATTGTTGAAATCAGTTGAGCTGAGGGATTTTTTTATTGTGTCAAGATACTTTGAAAAATAGAAAGTTCAAAAGTATTTATTTCAAATATGAATATTTTATAAAAATAAATGTCTTTGCTGTCACTTTGAATCAATTTAACCTATCCCTGCTAAATAAAATGAATAAATTCTTTCAAAAGAAAATCTTACTGACCCCAAACTTTTAAATGGTATTAATAAATGAATACAAATGGTATCACTCAATACAGACAAAAACCCTACATTTAGTAATATATGCTCCTGAATGGTGAATGACGGTGAATTCCTTCACAACATTTATTTTAGCCAAACTTTGTAAATTACTGAGGAAGTGCACAGTGGCTGGTGGCTCAAATATTCCTCTCCACTTCCTGTGAAATTATATAGTTATGTATACTTGTTCTATGTGCAGTTCCCTTACAACTATGCAATCCCTCACAATACTATTAACTCTCTACAATTTAAGCTTTTGATTAATATGGCCAAATACAATGTGAAGAACACTTCACACAGCGCTATTAGGCAATTGGAACAAACCCACAATCATTCCAAGTGCTCACTTCAGAGGTCTTCTGATTCCAAGCTGCCACTAAGCAAATAAAAGTGGCCTCTGACTGCCAAGAAGAGTTATGCAATAAACCTTGCAGTATAAATCAAACATAATCCATTTCTAGATTCACTCTGATTGGATTACAGTCCTATGGAATTGCAGATGACCAAAACACCCATGCACATCAGTCATCTTGTGTGCATTTGAAAAGCACAAATCACCAGCAGTAGTGAGCTTTATATGAAGAGGATCTGATTAACTGTCTATTAAAATTACAAATGAATTCCATTCCAATCTGATAATAATGCCTTTAAATTAAGCAACTTAAAACTAGCAGGGCGTTACCTGATGAGCACACACTGACTGTCATGTCTCTTCCACAGACAGCTGTAACACTCATTGGCCACAGCAAAGATGTGTGGAGGTAGTTCACCCAGGTGATGTCTGCTGTACATATCCACTGCCTCGGCGTCATACAGACCTGGTATCTGCTTATAAGGGTTCACAGTCGCCAGGATGGAGCCAATGTTGGTCTGCAAGGTAGAATGAATGACATTGAGAACATACAAGCTTGATCTTACACTGTTTGATGTTTAACATGGAGTGTTCAGCCTTGGAAAAAATCATCCATTAAAGTATTTTGTTTTATATCATTAATGGTTCAAAAAAAAATTCTCATAAACATATCTAGCATCACATGGATTCTACACACTACAGATTTCAACACAACTCAAATGCCTGTAATTTCCAAAGTTCTACAAATCCACCGACAACTGCATGATCAACTGTTAAAAATGTTTGGCTTATGTAATAATGCTTTTAGCAACCAATGTTTAACATGATATGATAATTCCAATATATGTTCAAATTCGTTTTGACAATTTAGGAAATAGTAAAGTAAAATGATAATAGAAACTGTCAATGCATACGAATGATAAACAAAAAATTCTAAATTATTTCCATAAAGTATGAATTCTAATTAGTTTCAGACAGATACAATTATCATCAGATGAAATACAGATTAGAAGACCATGTCATTTTATTTTTTCAAAAAATTTGGTAAGACCAAAAATACCACTAGCTGTTTTTTTGTGAAGGAAAAAACAAAATGGATACCCATCAATAATTTAATTTATGCTTACAGTTATTGAAACATGGGAAATTCTGCACAGCATTAAGCTCAGATTAAACATCATTAAGGTTCATAGAACAAAGTTCTTTTGAGGCACAAGACCTCTCAAAGCACAGACTGTTCCATTGTTTACATGAAAACAATGCACATTCCAAATTCCCATTTGAATGTAATGAAGAGAATTAGTGTGTGTGTCTGTGGACCTACTTAACCATATTTTGGAGACACATCTGTACCCAGAAGTGTGACCTAATTCTGATAAACCCTCTTTTTGGGGACAGTACTCACTTGTAAAAAAATAAAATAAAAATTATAGTAATTCAAGTTTAGTTTTTTTGTTTTAATTTAAAAAATGCAGAACGTTTTCTGTTAGGGTTAGGGTGTGGATTAAGCTGCAGTGTTTATAACCAGCTATACATAAAAACAAGAGAAGTCTATGCATGCCTATTTAGTTTATTTTTTTTTTTTATGAAACTTACATAAATGAGGTCCTTCTGGTATCGCAGGAAGAGGTTGTGCATGATGGCGGCCTCATGTAACTCGGCCAGAGTGGACATGTCTTCCACTCCACTGATGCTGGTGGGATGCATGGGGAAAACCTTGAGCCTGTTCACCTCACCCTGATCCAGAGTTATCACCTTCAACACACAACAAACGCTGTCATCACAGGAACAACTGTGAACATTACTTTTAAGTGTTTTCAGATTAACCAGAAAGTGTACAGTTCAGTGAACACATGATTGACATAACTAAATATGCATTCCCAAATGGCAGATCAGAAATCCGAAGTGTGAAGAAATTAGGTGTGATTTATGCTGCTATGAATCAACAGTGCGCTCAGGCAGGGCTCATTTACAGCAGTGTATGTGTGGGCCTGTAGCTTGTTTTACTAATGCGTCCGGACCTGCTCCATCTCTCAGCCAAGTTGTTTCACATTCCTGAAACCATACCCCCCATGACATCCTCACAGCGCTCCTCTCACTTTCACTGTCCTGAGCACTTCTTCCACGACCTGTCCTCAGAAATCCTTGGACATGCTACATTATGTGAGATCACAAGGCTGACGTCTCCCTTACACATCCCATTTGAAATGGTTCTCTTTTTTCTACCTAACTGACATTGAGGATTTCATTTATTTGCTGAATCATACAGACATTATCTAGTGTATCTGTCATTTTACACTCATTTATAAGCAACCCATACACTGAGGTTTGCCTTAAGGTTATATACGCAAATATCTGGGCTACATAAATCCTCAAGTAAATGTCCAAATAATTGTTCATATTATATCAGAATAGAAATTTATGAGCAGATACCAGTGAATGCTGGATTAGGCTACAGACGAAGAGATAATGATATCCATTTTCACATGAAAGACATATAAACAGTCTACCAGACAGCAAAAGTCGGATATTTAGGTGGAAAAAGTGTAATTATTGGAGCTTGCTAAAGTGTTGTTTATATTTAAGGTTCATATTTGTGACCCTGGAGCACAAAACCAGTCATAAGTAGCATGGCTATATTTGTAGCAATAGCCAACAATACACTGTATGGGTCAAAATGATTGATTTTTCTTTTATGTCAAAAATCATTAGGATATTAAGATCACGTTCCATGAAGATATTTTGTACATTTCCTACCGTAAATATATATAAACTTAATTTATGATTAGTAATATGCATTGCTAAGAACTTCATTTGGACAACTTTAAAGGTGATTTTCTCAGTATTTAGATTTGTTTTGCACCCTCAGATTCCAGATTTTCAAATAGTTGCATCTCGGCCAAATATGGTCCTATCCTAAACAAATCTCAGTTTCGAAAAATTTACCCTTATGACTGGTTTTGTGGTCCGGGGTCACATTTAAACTTAGGGGAAAAAATAGTATTTAACTGTGGCACTTGTTCAGCACCGTTTCTGCTCAGTGTTGTTATTGTTAACTAAAACTAAAAATATTAAAAATATTTTTTTGTTAAATGAAATAAAACTGAAATAAAATAAAATATAAATATTAGACCATTAAACCAAAAACGTTTACCTTTTAAAAATGTTTTACCTCAGCAACTAAATGAAATTAAATAAATTCTAAAATGTATCAATAAGTCCTAAAATTACTAAAACTAAAAGCCTAATAAATAGCTAAAAATAGAAATATATAATATAATAATATAATAGAAAAGCTAATTAGAAATACAGATAAACATAAAAAACATTAAATACTAAAACAAAATTAAATTAAAAACTTAAAAGATAAAGTAATAAATATAAAAAAATTAAATAAAGATAATTATTTTTAAATATAGAAAATATTTTTTTAAATATCTATATTCCTTAAATTTGTGTTAAATGTGTTGGATGTGTTTTTATTGTAACTGAGATGGCTAATAAATCCATTAGCAAAAGTGGCACTAAAATTGAATGATGTCATACAATAATGATCTTATCATTGTGGCTCGTCAGGTCTGTCTCCAGACAGATGAGCTTAATTGATCAGACATGACAGGAAGGAAATAGCACTTTGACAGAATACCCACCCCCATCTGAGCTAATGTGATCTATATGGAGATACGACACGCAAAATCAATGTGTCGTAACACCTGAGGCTCTGTTTACCAAATAAGTGTTGCGGGTGTGAATCTGTGAACAAGTTTCATCACCAGTTCACTCTAGGAAGCACTACTATAATGATCCATTCAAGTATAATGAAGTCATTGTTGCAAAAGCAGAGCAGCTCATAGCTGTGTGAATGTGTCTCAAAGTTTATGTTATCGCTGTGTGACGCCTCGACTTTAAAACCAGACCAGGAATCTGCTGTCTATGGGTCATTTCTCAACACAGCAGGCTGCCAGACGCACTCCAGGTCAAAGTTCACACACAAAATACAAGAGTTCGAGCCATATGATCCACTAGCAAACATCCAGCACAGAGGTCAAAGATGTTTAAGCAATAAAACTTTCCCGCTAAGACACAAATTCCCCAAATTCCTGTTCATGAGATGCTCGCTCCCACCGCTAAGGCCAAACAAACAGCCTGGAGGTTGGAATAACACTCGGTAACATGACAATAAATGTGTCTCAACCAAACATTCACAGGAGGAGGTGAGAGGCAGGGCTGTCATTACGGGAGGGTGAGCAGCAAAATGGGCCCTGAGGTTGACTTAAGAGTATGGGCAGTGGACCATCCATAAAAATGGTTTAAAATTAATTCAATCAACCGCCCTAATTATAGGGTCTCCTAAATAGTTAGTCCACCTAAATAAAAAAAATTTCACCAAAAAAAAAAAAATTTTTTTTAAAAACCTAAGAAAACTAAATGAAAACATTTTAATTCTAATAAATAAAGGAAAATGTAACTAAAAAATAAACTAAAACAAAATTTAGTTTTTTTTTTTTTTTTTTACAACATTTTGACTCCAAAATTAAAAGAAAAAACAAATATACCATAAAGATTTTATATACTATATTATATACTATATTTAAAAAAAAAAAAATGTCACTATAGTAATAAACTTCATTAGATAACTAGATACCTGCTACTATTACTAAAACTATAACAACTCTGTTTTTAAATTTTATGCAAATATATTTATTTACTATTTTTTTTATGTAATATATATCTAATATATAAACCGCCATTCAAAAGTTTGGGGTCAATAACTTAACTAAAATAAATAACAATAAAAAAAAAACTTTCATTAAGCAAGGATGCATTAAACTAATCAAATGTTACAGCAAAGACATTTATAATGTCACAGGTGATTTCTATTTCAAATATATGCTGTTCTTTCTATTGATCAAAGAATCTTGAAAAAAAAAAGATGTATCAGGGTTTCCACACAAATATTAAACTACACAAATGTTTTCAAACCAAATTCACATTTTAGAATGATTCTGAAGGATCATGTGACACTGAATACTTGAGTAATGATGCTGAAAATTCAGTTTGCCAATAAAATTAATTTTAAAATATACTGAAATAGAAAACAATTATTAATTAATTAACCATTTATAATATGACATAAAAAATGTCATAATTTCACAATATTACTGTCACACCCCATAGGACTTTTGTTGTGTTTTCATTCCTAATGTGTTCTGTGTAACCTAATTTCCCCTCATGTCTGATTATTGTCATTTGGTTCAGGTGTGTATCATTAATTACCCTCATCAGCCCTCCTATTTAAGTTATGTTCAGTTCACTGTTTGTCGTTTATTCTACAACGTCCCTATGTGTGCTCCTATATGTTCTGTCCTGGCTTTACCCTTGTGTGGATTTATTAAAGACTGTTTGCATTGCTCATCATCTTCCTCGTGCGTTTCATTCCACCGTAGCATGACAGGAGACCGGACCTAGAAATAGAAGTACCCAGAGAGAGAAGTACCCATGGTGTTTTCCCTGTTTATTTTTTCGTTTTTGTCAGTTTTTGTTTTTTGTCATGGATTATTATGCCTCCCAACTCATCTCCATTGCCCATGCTAACCCTGACCTGCTTGACTTCGCCAGGGACTTCAGTGTTTTCGCCGCGTCCTGCCCATTTGACAATGAAACACTGAAGTCTCTGTTCTGGATCGGGGCGAATCTTCACCACGCCATCGACCCCCCCCCAGACACCACTGGACTGAGTTAGAGGGAGACCATCATCCGGTGTCTGGGGAGCGTCAACCCCCGATCCGGAACACAGCCAGACCCAGAGCCCAGCCCACCATCACCCCGCTGCGCGGAGCAAGAGCCTGAGCCCACTGCTGACGGAGAGCCAGTGCCCGCCGCGACCGACGAGCCATCACCAGAGAAAGAGATAGAGCTGAGGATCGCCTCGGAGCCAGAGCCTGTCACGTCAGACCAGGTGTGAGAACCGCTGTAGCCTCCTACAGTGCTCGCCACGGGGGAGAGCACCATGGTCAGCGAGAGTGCGGAGGGAAGCTCCGCTCACTGCACCATGGCTGAGGGTGAGCCGAGCTCAGTGGATTTTAATTTGTATATATATGCAGACATGCCCGCTCTTTTCTCGCCTTCGTCTGAACTCTCTGTCTGCCCTGAACAGTCTGCCCATCCCGAACTGTCTATCTGTCCTGAAACGACCATGGTAGTCGTTCACCTGTTGCTGGCACTCACGGTGCTGGAAGTGGCCTTATGGTGTGTGTGGGCAACACACACCGTTCCTAAGCCTCGTGAACATCCTGAACTCCTGCCCAGCCTCCCTCTCCCAACACCCAACACTGTACCAGTCCTCACCATCGCCACCGCTGTCTCCTGACAGCCCCTCAGCTCACTCCACTCCTCCGGCTACACCTCGTCCATCCGTCCCTCTGGCTCTGTCAGGCTACTCCTTACCTCCGGCTCCACCTTGGTCCTCTGTCGCTCTGGCTCCACCGCGACCTTCCGGATCCCCACCTTCGCCTCGATCGCCATGGCTCCTCCCTCCGTCGGCTCCACCGAGTGCTACCATCATGGTTGTGGCCTGGGTCCCGCCTGGCTCCTCCAAGTCCATCCTGTCTCCTCCCTGGCTCCTCCCTCCATCTGATCCGCCCTGGACTCCGTTCATCATCCTCCTTCCGGGTGTCCGTCCTCCGCCCAAATTTCCTCCAGCATTGTCTTTCTGCCAGCCCTTTGCCATCCCCTGTCACCATCCCATATCCACTCCTTTGTCCTCCTCCGAAGTCCCCCTCCGTCCCTCCCTTTGCTCCTGCGGCGCAAGGTCGCACCTTCCGGGAAGGGGGCGAACTATCACACCCCATTGGACTTTTGTTGTGTTTTCATTCCTAATGTGTTCTGTGTGACCTAGTTTTCCCTCATGTCTGATTGTCATTTGGTTCAGGTGTGTATCATTAATTACCCTAATCAGCCCTCCTATTTAAGTTGTGCTCCGTTCACTGTTTGTCGTCCGGTCGACTACGTCCCTAAAGCAGTTTGCATTGCTCATCATCTTCCTTGTGCGTTTTATTCCACTGTAGAGTGACAATGACTGTTTTTACTGTTTTTTTTGGGGGGGGGGGGGTTTATCAAATAAATGCAGACTTGGTGAGCATAAGAGACTTTTTTTTCAAAAACATTTAAAAAAAATCTTACCAACTCCAACTGTTATAACTTGAGCTACATTCAAATGAGGCCCTTATGTCTGACAATTTGGCTCTCAAAGCAACATCTCATATGTGTCATCTCATTGTCCTCTGCTTCTGTGGCATCTCACTGATGTCAGGCAATATGTCTTATGATCATGTAACACAATTAGAGGAACATGACAACTGACCGAGCAGCATGGCTGCTACAAAGTAAACAGTGAACAGGGAAAATGGCCTACAGCGCAGGTGAACATTTAAAACATTATGGAAGCTATCATACAAGAAAATACCAATGCTGTCGTTTGTTCTATGCTTATTCTAAAGCAACAATAACAGACCACATGCTACAAAACACAACTAAATTGTCATTATATTTGTGAGAATATTTCAAGACAGCAGTAGAGTGTACTTAACGTCTATGATCATCTATTCACCCCAGGTTATAGTGGCCTGCTGTGCTCAGCAAATTGACACATGGCAGGGAGTCAGCTTGTCATAGTGCCATTTGCACATTACAGGCATTCAGACAGGACAATGGGTGTCAGTGTTGACAGTGTGCCAGGAAATGGGAACATCACCTCTGGTTGCTAAGCAATGGACCAGCCCTGGGAGTACTGGGAATCCTGATGATGAGATCATCAATAAAACATGAGGAAAAAACAACCACTGCAGTCAGTTTGAAAAATGATGCACTGTACTAGATAAATAAATGGAATTTCCTGGAATTATTATTTGTGTTTCAGTATGCAATCACTGGAAAGACACTAATTTTCCAGTGGTTTAGCGGAACTGCTTCCATTGTCCATGCAGGTTTATCTCTTTTCCTCAGCAGCAATACTTCCTCAGTGATTATGCATTAGGAATTATAGTGAATCTTCATTTCATTTTGCATGACTTGCATGATAAATTACAAATTCCTTCCTGTAAGTATTGTACACTTCAAGTCCTAGCATTCAATAAATGCTTTCATGGTTTTCCAAACACTAAGTACACAACATCAATGCACTTGCGTGAGCACTAACACACTCCCCTAAACGTGCATGTGCATGTGAAGCCATCTGCTAAATCCATTGATCTAGAGTTATTAAGCACACAATCAATGTTTTCCTAATGTGGCCTTTTCACCGAGGGCAGCGCCGCTGACTGATGCACCATTGTGACTAAAACAAAGCACATAAAAAAGTACTATCTGAGAGAATTAATAAATATAAACTCTACAGTGCATATTGGAAGGACTGTGTTCAAACTAAGCACAGATAATTTTATGATGTAATTAAAATATACTAATAGTAAATATACTATTATAGTATATAAAACATACTACTAAATAAAATGAATAAATTCTAATATAACTCAGCCTTTTGTGTATATAATTCAAATGATTAGTTTTTAAGTGAAGGTCTGTAATTAAAAGAGTAATGCATATTTGTTTCTTTGCTCTTCCGTGCAAGTGTGCTGCATGAGGCTTTGTGTTTGAAAGACCACACCCTGCTGTATTATTGAGCATGGCCTATATGAATATGCATGATGTGGGTGGGGTCTGGAGGACAGAGATGGCCCAGTAGTGAGCAGACACATGGAGGCCAGCTGAAATGGCTAT